GTGGGATCCGACCCCTCGGCGGGAGCGCTGCCGCGCTTCCCAAGCGGCGCACTGTAGCAGTGCGCCACCGGGCCGGCCCGAGATATAATTTAAAACCCATAACAACTGCCCTTTTAAAATGTGATTCAGTGTTTTTAGTATATTTACAACCCTGTGCAACCATTGCAACTGTCTCATTCAGAACATTTTCATCACCCCAAAAAGATACCTCACATGCCTTGAGCCCCAAAACCCCTTTCTCCACTCCTGCAGCCCCTGGCAGCCACCAGTCATCTACTTTCTGTATCTATGAATTTGCTTATTCTGGATGTTTCATATAAATGAATTTATATTTCATATAAACATGTGGCCTTTTTTTAATCTGGCCTCTTTCATTTAGCATAATGTTTTAAAGTTCTTCCAGGCTGAGCATGTATTCGTACTTCATGCTTTTTTATGGTTAAATAACAGATATGATGATTTGAAATGTAAATTTAAATCTGTCATTCTCAGTGTCCTTTACCCTGACTATATATATGTTATTTCGAGATATAGCAAATTGTGTGAGAGATGCTGTTTTTCATTTTTATCATATTATTTTAGAATCTCATTTATTGTTACAGAGTGCACGGTAGTACAATACAATATATATGCGAAGTTAAATATGCATATGTAGAGGGTACTCAGAAATTTTTGTCCCAATGTGTTATGTGATCACAATATTTTGAGACAATTGGTCTGTATTACTTAGAGTTTGCAGTAGTCTATTTTGCTTTTACCTCTCCTGCCCCCAGCAAGTGGAAATACCTTTGTTTAACTCTTGTTGACCTGTGCATCTGAGAGAAAAATAAATGACTGTGGATGGAGCTTTGTGGCACCTGCTTCACAGATGCCCACCACCGGCCCTTTTGTCTGCCCTTCTAGCCTGCTTTGTAGATGTAAATTCATGTTTTTCAAAAAACATAATTGGGATTATTCTACCCACTTTGATCTGTGAACTGTCATTTTTCACTTAATATTTTGTCTCCAATATTGTTTTAGGATTTGTTCTTAGGATTGGAATACACTGAGATTTTTTTTTTTTAATGAGCATATGAGTTTGTGGTTTATTTTCTTGCCCAAGACACACATGCATCTGATACATTTAGTTTGTCAATACCTATTGTGTGCCAGACAGTATTCTTCTCACTTTCTACACCCATAGGAAACACATGGACGGTTCAGTTTATGTCTTCTTGAGGAAGAGTTTTTCTTAATCACTGTTATATTATTTTTACTCATTTAAAACAATTTCTGTTATTTATTTATGATACTTTTTTTTTGCTGCAGAAAAAAGTAATAATATAGATAACCATGAAGAGAAAACATTGAAGTCACGTGTATTCATATCACTCAGCAATAACCAATATTAAACACCTGGGTGTATAAAATGCCAAACCAGGTGTTCTGCGTTTGTGTATCTGGACAGATGTGTGCTTTGTTTCTCTGTGTGTTTGTTTTTCTTTTCAACAGGAAGACATCATATTCTTGTCATGCTTCTTTTTTTTTAAAATTTAATTTTATTTAATTTTTGGCGGCTAGCCTGTACAGGGATCTGAACCTGTGACTTAGATGTTACAAAGCCGTGCTCTAAGCAACTGAGCTAAGTGGCCAGCCTCCTTGTCATGCTTTTTATTTTTATTTTTTTTATTTTTTTTTTGTCTTTTTGTCTTTTTTTGTGACCGGCAATGGATCACAACCCTCAGTGTCGCGCCCGTACCGGACCGGGACCGGCAACGGGATCGCAACCCTCGGTGTTGCCCCTGCTCCTCGCTCAGCCAGTGAGCGGCCGGTGTGCACGTGGGATCCGAACCCTCGGCGGGAGTGCTGCCGCGCTTCCCAAGCGGCGCACTGTAGCAGTGCACCACCGGGCCGGCCCCTTGTCATGCTTTTTAACTAGAGTGGAGCACTAGAATTGCCTGTAAAGTTTAAAAATAAAACAAAACAAACAAACAGAAACTGTGTGTGTGTGTGTGTGTGTGTGAGATGCCTGGGTCCTCCTGAATTCTTTGGGTATGGGAATCAGTCATGTATATTTTTTAAAATCTTTATTGGTTATTCTAAGCCTCCTTGGTTAAGAACTGCTGCTAGAATAATACTATCCAACTTCTTTCTTTTCAGTCATGTCTCTCATTGTGATTATTTTTAATGGTTTTGTAATAGGACCCATACTAAGGTAAGTCAAGTAAGAAACTTGCCTAGGGAGCAAATTTAATGGGGTGCCAAAACTCAGTGATCAAAGTAAATCATATTTTAATACAATATTTTTAAAAACCCTAATGTAAAAAAAGCTATGAGGAACAAAATATTGAAATTTTAGATGAAGACAGGTTCCAACCTTGTGCTAGCAAAATTCAGCTTCCTTTGTTTACCCCAGTCCTGGCTCTGGGTTTATAGATCAGTGGCTTTGTATCAGGATTCCCAGCATTACATCAGGATTCTTACTGTTGACATTTGGGGTGAGATCATTCTTTGTCGTGGTGACGCTGTCCTGTGCACTGTAGGATGTTTAGCAGCATACCTGGCCTCTGCCATCTGGATGGCTATAGTGTCCCTCCCCTCTCCCAGTTGTGATAACCAAAAATATCCTCAGACATTACCAAATGAGGGGTAAAATCATCCCAGCTGAGAACCCTTCTGGTATATAGATGAATATTAAATAGTAAACATAGCATTTACTCAGTCACTTGATCTGTCTGTAACTCAGCTGATTCATTTGTAAGTAGCAGCTCCGAGCCTGTCTCTGTGGTGGTGGCCCTTTGAGGTTACTGAATCATCAGCTTGGAGCTTTTCGGGGAGGGGCAGGGTAGGGCTCTCATAACAGAAATTCCTTCTCTTTTATAGTGTGCTTCTACCAATTGCAGCCCATTCATAACATCCATTCATATTATGAATGCCCATACATGAAGGTTTAACTGCATTTAGAAAGAAAATTGGTATTCGTGGTGACTCAACATTTAATTTTTGTAGTAATCTTTCCTGTAATTCAGCCTGGAGTTCTCACTGAGAAATGGCCCTGCTGTGGATCATTAATGGGAAATGGAAGCCAGTTTTTCATCAGGTCTCATTTGTTGGCTGGGATGGTGTAGAATGACTCTGCAGCATCATGTGATGCGAGATACCCATCCACGGGCCCAAGTCAGGGGCCTTTGTCTATGGAGACCTTAATTCCTCTCCTAACATTGACTTATGAAATCACTTCTGACCTCATGTGGAGCAGGTTTTGTCTTCCCTCCCTCCTTCCCTCCATAAGAGGACCAGTGGTTTTTCCCCCGGGGCAGAAAGAGTCATAACCTGCCTCTGTGGATACCACATCTGTTTTTGTTTTCCCCTGGTATTTTTTAAGTAAGAAGAAATGTGTGTAGGTTAAAGGGCCGATGGGGAGGAGGTTACAGATAAACACTGTACAAAGTGAAACTCTTCCATATGGGGAATGTGAGGGTGTTTGAAGACTGGGCCAAACACGAGGCATCGTCCTAGCCGAGGCCCTGGTAAGTGTCAGCGCCTTAATGATAGATGTGGATTCCCACTCGGTGTGCAAATGAGCTTTTGACAATTAAAAGAGACAGTTTCAGCATCAATGGTTATTTCCTCTCCTCCCCGAAACATCTTAGTAGGAAAGGGGCACAAGTGTTAATTTAAAAGAGAAATAAACAGATGTGGAGACCTTAAACCTGTCACCTGTGATGTCTTCTGATTTGTTGTCAAATGGTCCCCTGATCTGAACGTGAGACCTTTGCGAAAATCTGCCTGTCCGTGGTTCTTTTTGCCTTGCTTGGAAGTTGTTACCTGGAATGCAAAAACCCAAAGCTCTGTGTTATCCCACATTTGAAACATTAGAGGAAGTATTTGATTTCTGTGGACATGACATCAGATCGCTTTACCAAATCCAGAAGTTTGTGAGGGATGTCCTTAGCTCAACTTTTCATTCCAACCCTCCGTTAACTGTAACTTGTCAACCACAGCAATTACTTCGTCAAAGGTCTTGTTATTGCCTCTAATGTTAAATAATGATTGGGCCCAGGTGCTGAGGAATGTGGGCAAAAATGAAGACACGTGTCTGTGGCTAGAACATAAATTACAGAACTTAAAAAAAAAAAAGGTTCTTGATTTAGTCTCACCCATGGAGAGAACCTTTCTGTAAATCTTCAGTCCTCTTTATAATTTCAGAGTAAAATTCTTTGTAATTAAAAGCACTTGGCAAATCATGATTCATTTAAACCAGAGTTCTGATTCATTACTCTAATTATTGTTACCATGCAGTGCCCTTTGGCCTGGAAGTGAAACTCGTGTGCTCTTGACACCAGAGGTTAACAGAGCAGGAAGCCAGAGCATTGTGTGTCCCCTCAGTGACCAGAATAATTTAGTAATTGTCTAATTACCTGAGGAGTCTAATGCCACTACTAAAAATAGTATTAAAAAATTAAATGAAAGTCATTTTGTTTCTTTTAACACATCTGTTCTCCATTTTGGGCAGCCATGTGTCGTGGGTATAAAAATGTGATTAATTCTGAAGGATCAGGTTGCTTCTTTACTGTTGGATAAATATGTTTTTAATGGAATGTAGAATCCAGTATCTCCATAAACATTTCCAGTTTCTGGAATTCAGTTAACTATGGAGGCAGTCAGACTGTTGCAGGCGATCCTTTGTCCAAAATTGATTTAAAATCTGGAACTGATGTTGATAAATTTTATATTTATTTCTTCTTGGAAATGGGGAAAAAAATTCACATTAATTGAGGACTCCCCATCACTATCTCAGGAATATTAAGTTATTAATTTGTTCATTGATGCAGCAAATATCTGCTGCATGCCAGGCACTTCCCTGGGTATTAAGAATACAATGATGACTAACACACAGAGACATGTTCTCTGTTCCTGTGGTGTGATGGGACAGAGGATCATCAAGGAAACAAGCCACTTTTTTCACTTTCCTGACAGTGAAGACAGTGATGCAGAGGGTGATGAGGAAGCTTGACTTGCAGTGAGGAGGGTAACGAGCAGCATGATTGTGGGGCTCAGGGAAGGCCACTGGGAGGAGGTAACATTTGAATTCAGACCTGAACAGTGAGACTAACCAAGCCAGCCCTGTAGAGATCAGGGGGATGGAGTTCCAGGTAGAGGGCACAGCAGGTGCAAAGGCCCTGAGGCAGGAAGAAGCTTGGCAGGGTTCAAAGAACAGAAAGGCCAGTGTGGCTAGAGCAGAGTGAATGAGGAGGAAGATGGTGGGGGTGGAGGCAAAGCTAGAGAGATGGGCTGGGCTAATTGGGTGGGCCCTGTGGGCCATGGGAGGACATCTGGATTTTATTGAATGCTGAGCCATAGACTATTAACAAGTGGTTTTTATCACCAGTGGTCTTAATTTTTAAAATTATATTCCAAGGCAGTAGAACCCTTTCTTCAAAGGAAGGCCTAGATGGTGCCCGATGGTAGCACAGGTAGGAATGGGGCTGTCTGCGGCCGTCTCCCATTCCGTCTACACCTGAGCAGGGTTCTTGGGATCCCTGGGAGTTGTTGTGGAGCTTGGGTTGAAAACCACCTCTCTAGCCCACTCCTTTCTCCTTTCATTTACAGGAAACTGAAACTCAAAGAGCAGAACTGACTTGCTTGAGGTCGCACAGCTGTTTACAACCCATCCAAGAATAAGGCTCAGATTTCCTAACCTTCAGTGCTTTTTTTTACCATGCTGCTTGAAACCATTTTGCCAAGACTTAACCCATTTCTTGGCCCTTTAGAGACTCAGCCATGTGTTGAAAGGTGTGGAAGAGGCCGTGTAGGCAATGGAGCTGCTCCTTAGGCAAGAGTTGGGGTCTGAAGTCAGCATGGAAGGGAAAAATTGAGCCCAGTTAAAATTACTCTTAAAATACTCTCAAAATCTACCTTCAGTGGAGAGTTAGGTACCGTTTTGCAGTAAGTTCCATCTGGCCAGGTTTTCTTCCAGTTGTTACTGATGATGCCTCACTGGGCCTGTCCTGAGTTGCTGGTTACTGTTGGTTACCTCCGTAGGGCATCTGTTGAAGATGTTACTTCTATAGTAAACCAAGAAGAATGTACATTTAAAACAGCAGCTCTAAACAGGACGTTTGGTGATGTCTAAAGACATTTGGTCTTGGTTCAACTAGGGGAATGTTGCTGGCCTGTGGTGGGTGGGGGCGAGGGATGCTGCTAACATCCTCCAATGCACAGGATGTTCCCCACAACAGAGAGCTGCTCACTCCCAATGTCAGTAGTACCCAGGTAGAGAATCCTTCCTCTACAATGCCAGTGCAGTGTGGACCTCATTCTGTCGGAGGCCCATGACACCACCCCAAGGAAGACAGATTCACACTGTCCACAGGTAGAATTATCCCCATTCATTCAATTGTTATGCCTTACTTTCCTCATTTTGCTTTTTTTTTTTTTTTTTGCCAAGCATAAATGATCAGAACCCTGAAAGTTACATGTCATTTACTGCAGCATCACCAAAGATATACCAAGTTACCTGTGTTGAACACGGAAGAAAGAAAAGCACTAACTCTGTGGTTGTTCTTCCATCCTTCTCAGACTCTTCCTTTCTCTGGTCCTCTTCCTTATTCATTTCTCCTTCCCATAGCAATCCCAGGACCCACCGGCTCAGAAGGGCCCCACGGTCACTACCAAGGTTCGGCGGACTATGAGCAGCCGTGTGCATGAAGCTGTGAAGGCCATCGCGCTGTGCCACAATGTGACTCCTGTGTATGAGTCCAACGGTGTGACCGACCAGGCCGAGGCCGAAAAGCAGTATGAAGATTCCTGCCGCGTGTACCAGGCGTCCAGCCCAGACGAGGTGAGGCACGGAGATACCCTGCCCGCTTTCCACATTCCCCTAATGGGGGTTTCCTAGGGAAGTGACGTGTCAGGGTAGACAGGAGCCAGGGTAGTGCCGTGCTGCCAGGGAGGCACGTTTTCAGATACAGAAAGGGATTGCTCTTTTGAAAGAAGTAGTCCTAGGCTTGAGATATGTCCTGAACTAGGGTAGTGTGAGAGGTCTTGATTTGTAGCTCAGATGGCCAGCACAACAGGGGCACAAGGTCCCATTTAAACCACATACTTTTTTTTTTTTTAATAAAAGCTTTATTAAGATCTAATTCATATACCATATAATGTACCCATTTAATGTACACAGCTCAGTGTTTTCTTTTTTAGTATATTCGCAGCGTTATGCAACCCTCCCCACAATCAATTTTAGAATATTTTCATCACCCCAAAAGCAAACCCCACACCCATTTTCCCTCTTCTCCTTCCTCTACCCTTACCCTAAGCAACCACTGATCTACTTTCTGTCTCTACAGATTTGCCTATTTCAAACATTCTGTGCAAATGGGACCATGTAATATGTGGATATTTGGGACTAGCTTCTTTCACTTAGCATGTGTTTTCAGGATTCATCCATGTAGCAACATGTATCAATACTTCACTCCTTTTTATGGCTGAATAATATTTCATTGTATTGGTATACTGTGTTTTGTTTATTCATCAATTAATCGACACTTGGGTTGTTTTTGTTTTTTGGCTATTATGGATAATGCTGCTATGAACATTTGTGTTCAAGTCTTTGAGTGGGTGTAGATTTCCATTTCTCTTGAGTATTCATCTAGGAGTGGAATGTCTGGGTCATGTGGTAACTTTGTGTTTAACCTTTTGGGGAACTTCCAGACAGTTCTCCAAAGTGGCTGCACCATTTTACATTCCCTACAGCAATGTGTGAGGCTTTTAATTTCCCTACATCTTTTCCAATACTTGTTATTGTCAGTCCTTTTGATTTTAGACATTCTAGTGAATATAAAGTGGTGTCTCATTGTGATTTTGATTTGTAGTTCTCTGATGGCTAATAATGTTGAGCATCTTTTCATGTGCTTACCAGCCATTTGTATACCTTCTTTGGAGAAATGTCTACCCATATTCTTTGCCAATTTCTGATTGGTTTATTTTTGTCTTTTTGTTGTTGAGTTTTAAGAGTTCTTTAAGGTACAGGTCCCTAATCAGATACATAATTTGCAAATATTTTCTCCCATTCTGAGGGATATCTTTTTACTTTTTTGATGGTGTCCTTTGAAGCACAAAAGTTTGTAATTTTGATGAAGTCCGGTAAGCCATGTATGTTTGAATTGTCATTCATATCTAAGCATCTTCTGTTGCTGAAACCAAAAGGATTCATTTGATTCCATGTTCAAAAGCATGGCTCTGGCAGCACAATTGCCCCTATACTATTTGTCTATTGCAAGCCCCTAGTTGTTTTCCCTTTTGGGATGTCATAGTAGAAGCACCCTCTGCATATGTGTAGGCGGAGAACTCACCCAGCATGAGAGCTGCACCTGTCCTTTCTCCCTAACTCAAGTGTAGGTCAGACACAGGTCCTGGTTTCATTGATCTGTTAACATTTTGGTCTTTTTCCTTCTAGTTTCCCTCCCTTCCTCCTAGGAAACTTTTTTTTTTTTAATTATACACATTTATTTATTTTTGGCAGTTGGCTGGTATGGGGATCCGAACCCGTGACCTTGGTGTTATAAGGCCGTGTTCTAACAAACTAAGCTAACTGGCCAGCTCATCCTAGGAAACTTTTGTTCTGCTTATGGGAGCAATTTTTATTCAGTGTAGAAAATTAGGAAATTTCAGAAAACTCTATAGAGGAAAATGAGTCCATTGCCATCTCACTCATAAAAGGTAGCAGTAGCTACCATCTCTCCAGCATTTGTGTGCAGAGGGCCCCATTCAAAATGCTTTCAGTGTATTATCTCATTTCATCGTCCCAGCAACTGCAGAAGCACTGTTATTTCCAGAAAAGGAAGTCAGTGGCAGGTTAAATATTTATCCTGAAGTCACCTGGATTTTTTAAAAATATTTTAATTTTGAAATAATTTCAGAACTTAAAAAATTTGCAAAATTAGCACAAGGAATTCCCCTTTACCGAAGCTTCACCCAGATTCCTCAGATGTTAATAGTTTCCCATATTTGATTTATCATTCTTTCTCTTACCATCGAAGTGTAAACTGCAGACAAGATCTTCTTTTACTCCTACATGTTTCACGGTTTTTCCTATGAAAATAAGGGCATTCGTCAGAATCAGGAAATTAACATTGATATAGTACTATTCTCTAACCTGCAGATCTTACTCAAATTTCATCAACTGTCCCACTGACTTACTTTTTTAAAAAGAAAAAAATACTGTCCCCCTGATCAGGTGCCAGCCCAGGATCACAGGTCCACTGAGTTGTCCTGCCTTTTAAACTCTTAACCTGGAACAATTTCTCAGCTGTCCTTCACTCTAATGACATTGTCATTTTTGAAGATTACAATTATTTTGTAGAATGTCCCTCAATTGTGTCTGTCTGACATTTTCTTATGCTGTGGACTCTGGGTTTTGCATGCGTGGCTTGTCTTTGTGCATGCTCTCAAGAGGCGCCTGATACTGGTGCATCTCCAATGATGTTAACTTTGATTCCTTGCCTAAGGTGGTGTCTCCCAGGTAGCTTCATGATAAAGTTACCATTTTCTTTTGCTAATTAATCTTGTGGCACCAGCCAGGGCCAGGAATTTAACCCAAGGAATTCATTTTCAGAGCCCAAATGCTTAATTATTGAACTAAGTCATTTTTCAGAAGCCATGAAGAACATTTTGATACATAGCCTTCCAATATCTTTTCATACATTTTTTTCTTTAAAGATGGCAATTTTAATGTGTAGTTTTGTATCTTCCTTTTTTCACTTAATATTTTATCATTTCTGTTTTCCAATTTTCTCAAATATTAAAAACGGTTTGTTTTAGAATTACTGCATATATATGCACCCTTGCATATATATGCACCCTCGTATCTTTAACTGTTCTCATATTGTTGGAACTTGAGTTAGTCCTAATTTTTCACAACAATATTTATAAGCATTTTGCCATGAGCATCCTTATACCTAATATTTCTAGAAATGGTGCAATTGGGTTCATTCATTCATTCAACAGGGATTTTTAGGTAGGCTAGGCGCTGTGCAGTCAACACTAAACAAGCCAGCAGCCCATGTCTCTAGGGGCGGTGGCCTGAGTGAGACAGTGTGGCACCTGAGTCAGGGGATCCCAGCTGCCCACCTGGGCGGCTCCTCCTCCTTGCTTTGTCTCTACTCTTCTGTGACATGGGACCTACAACAGGGTTGTCGTGAGGCCTTTAGTAGGTAGTCAGTAAATCCTGTGGGTCAAACTGAATGAGTATTTTTTAGGCTCATGATACCAATTACCAGAGTGCTTCCAGAATTTTTTTATTATCATTATTTTTTTACTATTTTACTCTTCTCTCTTGTACCAACTTTACAAGGGCTCCCAATTTGTTGTTGTTATTGTTGTTGATTTTAAGAAGGAGGAGGCTTCTCTGAGTGAATGAAGTGTGTTAAAGATCTGGACTAAATGAGCTGTGGCCATCAGTGAGCCTGTGGTTAATGGTGATTGTGGGGAACAGTGCAATGAGAACCTTTTCCAAATTTCACAAATAAAAGGACGCTTGGACGTCGCCTTCCCTGACGTGTTGCTTCTTTCTCCTTTTCTGGGGCAGTGGAATTTGTCACCTGGGAGACTCCTCCTTCCAGCCAACATGGTGTTTGTGGAACAGCTCAAGCTGTAAAACCCAGTTCATCCGTGACTGTTGACATTTGAACCAGGCTTTTTAGGACTGGAAAACACTGCAGCCCCAGCCAACTTCTGAGATGGGAATTGTGTGCAGAAGAGAGACAGGGAGGGAGGGCGGGTCTGGCGAGCCTGCTGATCTACTCAGACTTGCCCTGCAGTGACTGGAAACCTTTCAGGTTTATCATCATTTCTTCTCTGTGCAGCTCATTGGGTTTAGTCTGCTGGATCTGGTTTTTCCCATTGGGAACGGGAGCATGGAGTGATAGACGTGAGAAAGGACCATATTCTTGATAGTTACCATGGGGAACCAGTAGGTTATGGGTATTTAATGGAATTCAAATTTGAGCAAGATCCAGATGTTGGCAGTCTGATCAGCACTCTGTCTGTGGGCTCCTAATATTCGTGCTGGCTATTGACATGCATCTCTGGAGGCCTTTAGTGCCTGTCCCACACCCTGTTCCCACTGAACTTTGATATATTTGTTTTAGGGCTGTGCAAAGATTTTTCCATGAGGGTAAATCTTTCATGGAATGCTTTGTGCTTCTCGGCTCCTTTTTCTCGAAGAGAATAGTGCTTTATCTCTTCTGTCCATTAATTACACTTGCATTCAGACTTGCCTTGTTTTTCTAAGATTCAGAGTCATGATTTAAAAAGAAGAAAAGGTGTTTTCCTTTGGCCTTTGGTGTCTTCAGAGAGGCCAGTGTTACCTTACTGGTATCTTTTTTTCCTTTTACAACTTTATTATTTTTTATTGCAGTTATCTCATGTTTATGGAAGAACATGTAAAGAGACAGATAAGAAAAGAAGTAAACCATGATCCTATTAACTAAACATGTAGCCACTGTTAATATTTTACTGATCAGCCTTCCAAACGGCTTGAGAGTATGTGTACTGCAAAATACAACTATGTTTATATAAATACAACATGGGACACAAAAGAAGCTAAATCCAGTTTATGCAACATCTTTCAGAAAGCCGTACTGTTTCCAAATCTCTGTGGAATTCCACGTAGTCCTGGCTGACTGAGAATCTTAGCTTTGAAATTCAATATCAATAAAACATTAGTAGTCTAGGCAAGGTCAGTTTACAGAGTACATACAGAAACCAGTATTCATTTTACTTTGGAGCTACTGGAGTAATTTCTACCGGTTGGCATAGGATTCATTTCCTGTAACACAAAGC